ATATTTTTTTATGCCTCAAGTTTCATCTTTGGCTTGGACTTTTTAAAAATTTAGGTAGCTCTTTTTTTTTTTTTTTTGGAATATGCATTAAGTTCGGTCGGTCCAAAATTTTTACTTTGAAAATTTCTCCAAATACATGAATGAATTAGTTAGTCATTGGAATTTCTTCCTCGAATCCAACGTCCCCATGAATAATGAAACAAATGTGATATTCAAAATTTTCTATGAACTAATACCATTCATTAATTATATAACAGATTATTGTTTGACGATACCGTGCATCTCAGAAAGATATTTATTATTTATAATGAGTGGTTCGCATAAAATGCTAGTTCTTTTCAACTTCTTTCTGTATGAGCAGATCTTTCCCAAGAAAGAGCGAGATTCACAACGAATTTCCGATATATCGGTGACTGGAAAAATTGAAGGTACAACTGAAGAGATAAAAATAATAATGAATAAAAAAAAAGTAAAGCTGCTGCAAATGTTGGAAATAATTTAACAAGAGTTGTCTCCACTGCTGGATCATGGCAGAGAAAAAAAAAATATTTATGAAGCATTTTTGTAAGAAAAATTTGAGATCATCATTGCCAAATTCTGGATATAATTGGTTACATTTTTGGCTAGGTTGATATTCGGCTTCATGTGTCTGATACATAAAATGAGGTAATTATTTATTAATTATTTTCGATATGTGCTGCGCAAAACATAAAACGACAAAGGAAAATGTTTGTGGCTTATCGTTATTCGAATGTGGCTTAGAGAAAAAACATTTTCAAATAGCAAAGCCATCATGCTAACGATCTTATTTTCTCCTTCTTGCAAGAAATTAGGAAATTGAATAAATGTCACAATATACGATAGTAGTAATACAACATGACCCACAACGACCACCACCACCACCACCACCCCCAAACAACTGGCCATCATTTTACCCGATAATTTATCATAATCTTGAAGATTTCCCTGAAAGGGAGAAAACGTTATTGAAAAGAAGTTACATTCTATCAAAACGTACGTTGAATTTTGTTTGTGATATTGCATAAAAAGAATAGGAAGGAAAGCTAATGCTAACATTATATCATTTAGTATACGTTATAACGTTATTAGTAAATTCGTGTGTTGATGTTGTAACTGCGATAATGACGAATAATGGTTTAAGTGTTGTATCTCAATTAATAGCTTCAATCATTTACCTGATCTTGTTGCCATTTGGTGATTTCTTTGGTAGACATTTAAGTCTTTATCTTGCATTCAAGTAAGCAAATGAACGTTTAATTGCCTTTGGTCCTTGCATATATTCAATACGTACGTACGTTAATCGTCTATTTTTTTTTTTTTTTTTTTTTTTTAAAAAAAATTGTTTAGACTTAATGATGAATCAAGTTTTAGATATTTCTTTTTTGGAGAAACAATCGTTATTTTATTTGGTGTAATTATTAGCATTGGGTTCATACACGGTGGATCTTCTGGGACACTTGGGGCAATCCTTTACTTTCGAAACAAATTATATGTTCTCGGTGTTCTTATTTCAATATTTTTATTCTTGGTGTTAGTGCTGACCATCTTTCACATTATTTTGACGGTTCAAGTGAGTAGTTTCAAATTTTGAATATCGTTTGTTGTTTTATAGTTAATTAAATGTTTCCGTTCTTTTATTATAGGTTTATAGACTTTTTAAGAGCAGAAATTTTACTATATGTCCAAGACTTAATCATACTGGTGCCACTGTTGCCCCTGATGTTAGAAGAGCAGCTAGGTTGACATGATATGTACAGTATCTTTTCGTTCGAAATTTTAATTTAGATATCATACTTTATATGATTTACCATCTTTAGCTATGTGTGTCGACAAGAAATTTGAATGTATCACCTATTTAAAAATATTTTTAGCATAAATAGGGGTTTTATTTTTTTTCATTTTTAATAAAGCGCCCACTAAATTTATAATCTTAATAAAAATGGTTAATCTTTAAACCAACTTATCATTTCTGAGAGTTCCACCTTTCTTTTAAATTTAGACACATTTTTACTTTATTGAAAATAATTAAAATCGAAGAAAGGACACCCTATTGAAAAAATTTTGAGTTCGTTGCTCGATACGAATCTTATCTAAAAATAAAAAATTAGGATTTTAAATTTCAAATTAGTATTTCATTATCATCATGCTTGCATGAAAGCTATCAATTCTTGTAATTATTTTTAACCGAGATTTCTTTATACGTAATTTTTTCCGTGCAATACATTTTTTATAAAAGCGTAATAACACGTTTGGTTATTCAAGTCAGTAAATTCATTCTCTTTTAAAAAGACGATGCGATGCTAATATTTCATTATTAATGGGCATAAACAAATTCGATTTGACTTTGTTAGATTGCTTTTAAAACTCTTTGTTGTCATGAAAGGATTTTGGAACCATAAATATTTATTTAAAATAACTATTCTTTATATCATATTAAGCTAATTGTTAAGAATTCATCATTTCAGAATATAATATATTATTACGATTATACCAAAAAAAATTCAACTAAAAAAGGAAATAAATTAATTTACGCTTTTAATTTACGATTGTTTGTTTGCAATACAACTCTTCAATAGTCTCGCTGATGTAACTCTTGTTAACGCTGCTCATTGCTGTTTCATGAAAAACGAACGATGAGAAAAATGACGGAAAGTGCTTTCTGATGATCCATAAAAGTTTATTTCATATGATATCATTGCTTAATAATTCGATGATTACGTTTTCCCTCAAATATCTTAATAAACCTGACGAAAAAAAAAAAAACCTTTGAAAGACCAAAGCTCGAACAAAACTTTAAATACCTTTGCGCTTAATTAAAATCCGTCATCTCCAATGAATTAAAAAAAATATATATATTTTACAACTTTATGCATTAAATTCCTTATTATATATATTAAATAAACCTTGTTAAAAAAAACCTGGAATTTTAGCCAAATCCAATTAGGTTGAAACAACCCTTGAATTTTATCACAATTAATAAAAAATATTTATATATTGACTTAGTAAAATTTTAACATAAACCTTGGAAAGACTATAAATGGAATTTAAGGAATCCAATTTAAAAGACATTCATGGAATTACTTGTATGGTTTTAACTTGCAAGATCCCGGAAGGTTCAATATTATGAAAATCCTTCCATTATGTTAACTACTTTGTTTTTACTAAATTGATCTTGCAATTTATTTTCATTATTTCTAAAAAAAAAATAAATATAAAAAAATTTAGAGTTTCTAATTTTAGAATAAAGTTAACTTTGTCACACATGATCAATAATGGCCTTATTGTTTGAAGTTGTGTAAAGAAACACCAAATATTCTAACGCCATATTTTTATAATTATGAGCGAAACCTAATTTATTGATAAATGCAGGGCGAATTTTGTGTACTTTCTAACTTGCAGGGCCATTCCGACATTAGAATTGTAAATAACAAAGAATTTAACCATATCGCTGAAACAGTTTTACTTTTGCAATAAAAGAAATAAAGTTTTGAACCATTTTTTTTCAAAAAAATTCCTTCTCTTTTTTTTTTTTTTTTTTTTTTTAATAATTTACCTTGAAGAAAGTATCAATTAGTTTGACCTTTAATTTATCTAATTTATCCTATTATGTTAATTTCATTAACATTCGATGTAGGAAAAAAAAAGCCTTGTCATGCGACGAATAAACAATTAATTTATATAAATTAGATTAGTTTTAAAAATAAATATTGCATTAAAAATAGATTTCTAAATAATTGAATTCCTTCGAAACATGCAGCTGCATTTATTTTTTATATAAAGGCCAACGTTCGAGTTTCCTTCAACTTGTCTACAAGAAAAATTCTCTTTAATATATACCATTTAATTCTTTAATGGTCAATATGAAATTCGCTTTAATTTTTACCATTTCGTTTTTAGTTTCTATAATAGATTCAAATCCAGCCCCATTCGTAAAAAAAATCGGTTCAGTTACACGTAAACTTTACTTTTAAATAATCAATTGCAATACTTTTCACATCAATATTTAACTAGCCACTGATAGCCCGAATTGTCTCATCATGTAGAACAACCTGATTATCCAACTATACCGAACGAAATCCAAGTGCCAGAAGGAAACGACTTTAAATTTTTACTTTACGCTTTGGGTTTAAACGTATACGTTTGCAATACTACTACTTCAGAATGGGTTTTCACTCGCGCAATTGATACAACACTTATCAATGATATCACAAAGAAGGAGATGTTTATTACAAAATATGAAGTCGCCGAGCATTTCTTTCTAGAAAAACGTAAGTAAAATAAATGCAAGATTTTATTTTTTTTGGAATAACACAGAGGGCTAATAATCCCTTTGAAATTAAAGCCGTAAATGGTGGTTTGGCAATTTGGAAATCTTTGTCACCAGGTGATGACTCTTATGTGATTACATCGCTTGCCGCAACAGTCACATCACCTGATGGCATTGATAATGATTATTGGCTTTCACTGAAAGTAACTGTAAGTTTGAAAATAATTATATTTATTAAATTTTGTTTTTATTTTTTTTTCAAAAAAAAAAAAAAAATTATATTTTTTCGATTGATAGGCAACCGGAGGTTATGGTGCATTTGCTGATAATACATATATCCTTCGTGTAAATACTCAAAAAGGAATGCCGCCTCCTGCTAATGAATGTAAGTCACTTCATGAAAAAAAACTATTTATATTAGGAATTTTGAAATTTACTGATCATTTTCTTTTGTAGGTGGTACGAAATATGAAAATGGTGATGAAATCTTGAGTGAATTTATATTTGAATATTGGTTTTATCATTAATTTATATTCATTGCGCCGACATCTGTATGAACGTCATTATAAAAAATGTCGTTCCGAGATCTAAAAAAATTTTTTGGCATTGAGCCCAAATATAATTTTATTTTATTTTATTGTGGAATTTATTTATCCTATTTATTCCCAAATTTGATAATAAATGAATTATTATTAATATATCAATCAAAACAAATAATTATCTTTGCGCTTTGACACATTATAAATTAAGTTTACATCTGTTAAAATATCAGTAATTATCAAGTAATGATTTATCAAGCAAATTTAATAAAAAGCAACCGCTGAGAATAAATAATATTCAATCAAGAAATCATTTAAAGCTATTTGATGGGGGTAATCATGAAGTGTGGGCGAGATAATGAATTTATTCTTGAATTTATTATATGACCTATAACGTTAATCACGTTAATCCCTAAATTATAATTTCTTCTAATTAAGATATTACCCATCTTAAAACGATTTATGGAACCTCGCCGATTACGTAATACCAACGGAAAACTAGCTTGCAGTGAATTATTATATAAATATTCTTGTCAATGATTTACTTGATGAGTTTGTATTAATGGAGTAAAAACAACTTCAACGCCAGTTAAAATCAATTGTGTAATGATGATGATCGAAAAATGTAATCGTTAAAATTAAAAATATATTGGATCTACGGTCACAAGATTGTAATTTAGCCGCAATTGCACATGTATTACAAATAAACAATCATATAAATAGTGACCCTTATTCAAAACTCTTTTTTGGTAATCACTCTTTTTTTTTTTTTTTTTTTTTTTTTCCTCTTTTTAGTTCAAATAATGGAAGACAAAATTTCTACTTTGGACAATGTTCTTCCTTGTACGACCATGAAAGAAACGAACGGGAATGTACTTCCTTCTTCTTCGTTGCCTCCAGAAATTCTAGTCAACATATTTGGTTTTCTTTGTTCGGTCACGGACCTGTTATCATGTGCTCAAGTTAATCAAGCTTGGCATCATGTAATCACAGCTTTCTACATATGGCACACAACAAAATTTAAAAATTATGAAACATTTTCAAGATTTCATGAAATATTGCAAATGATATCAAAGACGAGAAGGAAACGGGCATTAGAAAATTGGGATAAACTTATAGCTGCTTACTTGAGCTCCGTTACAGAAACTTCCAAATCAGAAACTTCTGATGATGATGTAGGTGAAGGTGATGAAACGGTGGGATCACCGACTCCTTTAGCAAATCAAACTTATTTTCATTCAACAAGATATTATGGTCATTTCGTTATAAAACTTGACTTATCCAAGATTCATAAAAAAGCGAATATCACCGAAAAGATGTTTTGCGATTTGTTTCCAAATATACCAAACCTTGAAAACGTCAATTTTTATAATTGTTACACGGTTACTGATGAAGTAATAAAAAACTTGACGGAATCATGTCATCGCCTAAGGAAATTAAAATTATTCGGATGTACAAGTCTCTCAAACAAATCTTTGGATTATATCGGAATGCATTGTACGGAACTCACCTTTTTAAACATGGGGTAAATTGCTTTTCTTTTTTTTCATTCTTTATTTTTTTTTTTTTTTTAATGTTTTCAAAAGGATTTATTTTTCTAACCATCTCTTTTAAAAAAAAAAAAAAAAAAAAAAATCCAAATCAAAATCTAGATTTTGCACGTATGTTACTTCGACTGCATTACAAAGATTATTAGAAAGATGTAGACGACTTTCAACTCTCGTAATATCACATTGCTCAAATGCACCAGCAATTACCTTGATTCCCATGGTAAAAAATCTTCAAGGATTACAAAAATTATACATGTATCGTGGTTTTACCTCGGATTTAATAGTTAAAAGTCTTATCCCGCAGATACCAAGACTTCGTAAATTGGATTTGGGAATCAGTAAACCAAAAATTACTGATGTTGGCGCAGATATTATTGCTCAATATTGTCCAAATCTGGTTCACCTCTCTTTGTCATTTAGTCTAGTTACATGTGAAGGTCTAAAGAATATTGGGCAAGGATGTAAAAAACTTTCATTTCTTGATTTAAGTGGATGTTGTAACATTGGTCATGGACTTTATGATGTATTAAAATATTTTACTGAATTAAAAACCATTTACCTCAAGTCTTTATTACAGATATCCGGAAAATCCTTTTCTACTATCATTAAATCTAATATTGAACACGTTTCATTTTTTAGTAGTAAGATTTTAGAAGCAGAAACTTATGATGTTCCTTCTAAAGAAGATAAATCTTATTCAAAAGTGAAAAAGTTGATTTTGGATTATTGTGAGATTTCAAATAAAAATCTAAAGCAAATCGCCCATTGGTCTAAAAATTTGGAACATTTAGATATTAGTTTAGTTTATGATGCTGATGATGAGATATTACAATTTTTATGTGATAATTTAGAAAATTTGAAGTTTGTTTTAGCGAGGGGTTGTTATAGAATTAGCCAAGTCAAACAAGCTGAATTAAATAAGCATCAAAGGATCAAGTTTAGTTTCTAAAAAAGAAATATATACGTATATTTTTGTGATTTTTATTTTTAATTAAAAAAAAAAAAAAATTCAACTTGAATGAGTTTGTTTTCATTATCATTTATATATTATTTTGATTACATTTTGTAGAGCACTCTCACAATAAAAAATAAAGTTCTTTACTTTTACTTTTAATGTTTTGAAGGGAGAACTTATAATATATTGAGATGGGATTTGGGAATATTAAGAAATCACCGAATTTATTTGATTTTTTTTTTTTTTTAAGTTATTTATTTAATTTACTATGATAACAGTCGTGCTTGTAAAGATGCCATCATGAAATTGCAAGGTCGTTTATTTATAATTTTTTTTTTTAGAAAAAAAAAATTTGTATTTAAACTTGAATTTTTATAATATAAGAAAGTATTTCATTATCGCTTAACAACGGTACGCGGGAGGGCAAAACAAATGATAATCTAGATAGTAACTTTATTTGTTAATATAATAATTCTTTCAATACATATTAAGAAATAGTCTCATTTAATGAGTTTCCCCCAAAAACTCATGACTCCTATAAGCTCTAAGGAACATGATCCCGATCCTGACATCACAATCCTAACTTCGAAACCCAATGGTCAATAATACTAGTGGTCAGTCAAAGATACACAATATTCGATATTAATCTAAAACATTATTTTGAATCATGGATGACAACTTGTACGATTCATGTACCTGCTGATGCGGAAGATATGTATGAATGACTTTTTAAATCAATTGATATTATTACGTGAAGCCGCACTTTAAGCATCCTTTGATGAATTTCCCAATTTAATAAATAGTGGAATGGATATTTTTTTCATTTAGGAAAAAGAATATTTAAAAGGAATGATGAACAGTGATCCCTAGAAATTACATCCATAAGCAAATGAATTAGTTCGAAAAAAAAATTACAACGAAACAATTATGTACTCGACTTGTTATATTACAATTATGGTCCTAAAGTAGAATTTGAACAAAAATATCTCATTGTGAATTTTGAACAAGTAAGAATTACAAGATGAACAAAAAGTAGTTGAGATTGAATGATAATTACAATATTCACAATGATTATGAATGAGGAAAACCGACGGCAATTTTGATCTCTTGTTTAATGAATATTATGATTCTATTCCTCATTATTTATGTAAATAAAGGTGTAGTGTAATACGTTGAAATTTGCCTTTGGGCATGATGGCATAACATGAACTAATGTCACACATCACATCTGATAATGCTTTCCGCTCGCTGTGTGAGATTAATTTACATTAAAATTTTAATTAAAAATAAAATTTTTTTTAAAAAAAAATGAATTTATAAAGACTGGATGGAACCCGAATCTTTATTAGCTTTATTGCGCTTATTACGAAATTAAATTTTTTTATAAAACCTCGTGATCTTTGCCGAAATCGAAAAATTATAAAACTCAAAGCCTAATTTGAAGACAGAGAATAATTAACATTGTTTATTCATTTATTTTAGCGCTCAAAGCTTTTTTTTTTTGCTAATATATTCTACTCTAATAATGGACTGATTTAAGATAGGATTAATTTGGTCAATATAAATATAGCTTCTATAAACATTTTTATATTTAAACATATGATTTAAAACAAAATCTTTTAATGTAGCTAGAAGATTTTTTTTTGAGTTGAAATGTAATAAATTGAGAATATGAAGGGAATTTCTTAAATAAGTTCAAGTTCAATTATATTCACAAATCTGAAATATTACGCTTGATTTAAATGTAAAAAAACGCTGCTAAATATAATTTTAAAATAAAAAAGGAAAGTTTAATGAAAACTTCTAATATTTTATTAATAAATAATTTCTTTAAGAATAAAAGAAAGCCATAATCCTTTAAGGAAATAACATTCAAATTGTCTATATATTTCAAAGTTTAATGTGCCAATACTTAGGATACAATAATTTAATTTAAATTATGTGAAAGTTTATAATAAATTACTCTCCAAAAAGAACTTTAAAATTATGTTATGTGGGATTTATCAAAAAGTTATAAATTTTAAAGATTTAGGTATGATAAACGTTAAGGAATCGGGTAAATTTGGTAAGCTAGTTATTAAAGTATTGTCACAGTTAAGTTGAGTTAGGGAGTTGGGCAAAGTTGGTAGTATAGTTATTTTAGTATTATAGCAAAAAAGTAACGCTAAGAAGTTGGGTAAAGTTGGTAGGATAGTTATTCGAGTAATAGAGCAATCAAGACAAGTTAAGGATTTGGGTAAAGTTGGTAAGCTATTTATTCTAGTACTAGAACACCACAATATGTTAAGGAATTTGGCAAAGTTGGTAGGATAGTTATTGGAGTATTGTAGCAAACAAGAGATGTTAAGGAGTTGGGTAAAGTTGGTAAGCTATTTATTTTAGTATTATGACAACTGAGTGTAGTTAAGGAGTTGGGTAAACTTGGTAGGATAGTTATTGGAGTATTAGAACAATTAAATTTTGTTAAGGAGTTGGGTAAAGTTGGTAGGATAGTTATTGGAGTATCAGAGCAAAAAAGTTCTTTTAAGGAGTTGGGTAGAATTGGTAAGCTATTTATTCTAGTGCTATAACAACCGAGTGTAGTTAAGTAATTGGGTAAATTTGGTAGGATAGTTATTGAAGTATAAGAGCAAATAAGTTTTGTTAAGGAGTTTGGTAAAGTTGGTAGCTTAATTATTTGAGTTTTAGAGCAATCAAGTTCTGTTAAGAATTTGGGTAAAGGTGGAAGGATAGTTATTTTAGTATTATCGCAACGGAGTATTGTTAAAGAGTTAGGCAAAGTTGGTAAACTTGTTATTTGAGTATAAGAGAATTGTAGTTCTTTTAATTTTTGATATCTTTGTAATCCACACGGAGCGTTTAATATATCATCCTTATTTTTATCAGAAATAATTAATCCGATGATAGCATCATCATCATAAATATTATCTAATGCTTGGGTTTTGATATTTTCTTCTAAATTACTAATTATTTTTTGCTTGGTTCTGACTTCTTCATCTCGCTCTTTAATCGACTTTTCTAGTATATTAATAGTTTCTTTCTTGGTTTTTTCTTGTGCTTTAATCATTTCTTTAAAATATTTACATTGAAAGCATACGTTTGATAATTCCTCACTTTTTATTGTTAAATCAAAGTCTAAATTTAGGATGACTTGCTTTAGATTACATAATTCTGCTAATATCTCAGTAAGTTTTCGTCCTGCTAATAGTTCTTTTAAATTATCTAAATCATTACTACCGATTTCATTCAATATAGCAATTGATTTTCATTGTCGGCTTTCTTTTTGCTTTGTAATAATTCCTTAATTTTTTTATTCAAGTCTTTCAAACCTCTTTCTAAGTTAACCATTTTACGATTAATTTTTTTTTTTTTTGGTAAGAAATGAAATTAATTTCACCTCAGCCTTCGAATATCATTCCTTTTTAACCGTTTTTGTCAATTTCTATTTAAGGTTAGTGTTGAAAATCTTTCACCTAGAAACATTTAAACCTCTGTCCATGACGGCGTTCCATGCTAATCAATTATTCGGTTCGATAAGTATCTCTCAAATTAATAAATTACAGTTTTATATGTTTTTTTTCGAACGATATTTGTTTCAATAAATTAGAATATGACAGAAATAGCTTAATATTGAGAAAGTTAAGTTTTAACGAAATAAATTTTTTTTTTACTTCTTTCAAGCAAAAAAAAAAAAAAAAAAAATTCAAATTAATCATGTGCGCCGGAATATTTTCACGCAAGTTGTAATGTTATAATATTCTCATCTAAGTTTCAAGATAGTTTAATCTGTTACATGAAATATGTAAATATTTAATAAAAAGAAATAAAAATCACAGCAATCAGGCGATTTGAATCGCTTCAATTTGCATAATTAAGTTTTTTTTATTTTATTTTTTTTTAGTCTAATGTTTAAACAGTGATGAATGGTAGATCGTGAATCTATTTTATTCTATTAAAAAAAATTATAACCATATGATATTAGGGTGTTACACCGACTAATTAATCAAAACTATATCAGCTAACTATATATTGGAGATTTTTTATCGCTACATAACAATCAAATTAAGTTTGGACACCTTTCTATAATTAATTGGTTGAAGCATATTTTGATAGATCAATAGCAATTCATCATCATTCATCTGTGCAAGTTCTTTGTTTATTTCAAGAATTGGTATTTTTTTTCTGTTGGCATATTTAAAGAAATTTGGTTTGCTTTGCACGATTTAATTTTTCTTTGGAAACCTTTGGTATTCTGTCTATTATAATGAGTATGCTAATTAGTACATTTCAAAATGGTTCACTGTATTATTGAAACGTCAATTTACCTTCAAATTTTCACAGCAAGAATATATATAGTTTAAGAACAAATTTACGTTAAGATATTTCGTTTTGTAAAAAAAAAAATTTCCAAGATTTGACCTCAAGAATCTAAAATTTTTTGTAAATATTGATTTTTAAGAACCCATTTTTAAAAAATGAACGTAGTTACTTTGTAACAGTTCTTAAGAATAGTTCCCAACCAAAAAAAAAGAAGAAAATAAGCTCAATATTAGTGGGAATCTTTTAGAAGTTTGAGTTTATTTTAATAGTAAACGATTGTAAAAAAGGATTCGAATTTTATTTTAAGCTTTGTGTAACATAAATTATGATTATAGTAAAACCAATTAAGTATCTGATATAGTTTTGACAATATGATATGAAAATGATTAGTGTATAATCGTTCAACAAATTTAATTTACAAAACGTATCAAAGAATATAAAATTAATTAATTTAATGTTACACAAATTAGAGATAAGCTTATGAAAAATTATTTTCTTTTTTAACAAAGTTCTTTCTATAAAATAACATGTCAATAATTCAACCAAGAAAGAGCAATATCGGATAATTATATCGAATATTGTGATTTTTGCTGAGTAAAAATCAGCATTGGTTTTTATCGAAATGTTTTTATCGCAAATGGAAGGCATCTAATCCAATCTAGGCTTTAAAACAT